AGATATAGGAAAAGACTTTTTGGACATCCTGTATATGTACATTCATGAAAATCGTTCAATTTCTTTCCTTATTTATATTATAAAGGAACCCAACATTGTGTGGATGGAACAGACGAAGACTATTGTGAACATTTGTTATTGAATGAGTGCAATCCAGAGACTGAATATCGTTGCAAAAATGGAATGTGTATTGATGAGGAATACTTTCTCGATGGAGATATTGATTGTCAAGATCAATCAGATGAACAACGTCATTCAATTTATGCTGTTACAAGCTTATGTTTCGCTCGGCCCAAATTGGATTGCGATGAAAGAATATTAGAAAAAAAAGACCAAATTTCGTGCGGTGATGGATCACACGTATCTTTTAAACAACAATATCGACAAGCGTCAATGTCCACTACTCTTCAAACTTGCTACTCATTTCGCGAGAGACAATGGAAATGTGAACTAAATTATCGAGAGATCATGTGGACAAATCCAGAGAATGGCCATTGTTTTGACTATGTTGATAACACAACAAATGTGCTGAAAGAAAAAGATGATTGTATCTTCATTCACAAATGTGCATTAACTAGACATGGTCAACATTATTTGTGTCCGTGTACAGGTAATGGTTGTCGTGCTCATTTCTATCGCTACTGTGGTTCAAATAATGTCTCATTATTTGCTTATCCATCTGGACGTATATTCACGCCATTTGTTGAGACTTATTACAAAAGCAATGAGCACAATTTCGATCGTAATACATGGCCAGATGTTTTTATTTTCACTCGTAGTATTAAATGTAATAATGAAATGCGAGCAACGCCGGATATAACAAACCAGAAAGATTGGCTCTACACGGAAGATGTAGTAGTCACATCTGTAAGAGTATATAGTGCTCATCCATTAGAAGTGCTTTTGTGTAAGAGGCATGAATCTATCAATGCGAATCAAACGAACTATGGAATTTGTTGGAATGACTCGTATCCCAATCAAGCTAAACATTGCCCAGATTCAATACCATATAATTGTATCTCAAAATATCATGTCAAAGATGGCTTTCATGATTGTGCACGTGGTAAGAAATTCTCCATGATCCTCATTATTTTATATGAAAACAAAAACGAAAATGTTCTTCTAAGGCTAAAAATTCATTTGAATTTCAATTCGAAAATTCAAATGATCATAAGAATTAGAATCCCTCATTGTGAAAATATCAATATAAAAGAATGAATTATACGAAAACTTGATATGTGTACAACTCCAAATATTCTCCCCATGTTATTATCCATTGCTCCTAGAAACTGCTTCTTCGACAGTAATTTTTAATTTCATTTCGGTTGAGCAATAGTAAATGTCTCGATACATCTGTACCCTATGATCTTTGCATCAGGTAGTTAGGTGGATTTTTACGAGCTCAGCTTCGCTGGGCACTTCTTGATTATGTCATTAATTGTTTCATATTTTGTTTGGACTCATCATTCAAAACTGTTCTAATGTTCTTTCTAGGGGGAGATGAGACAATGGATAATTGGTTTGAAGATTATTCATCAATTCGGAAACATCGTTTTCGATGTTCAGAAACTGAACAAACTTGTTTGACAGTCTTATCAATTGGAGATAATCGTCCCGGTTGTAAGAAAAACAATCACGACGAATATTCTAAAACGTACAATCTTCAACTGAACCATCTCAAATGTGTTAGTAGAGATTCTGCCGATTGTATATTTCTTCGTCAATACATTTCGGAATCATCCATCTTAGACACAAACACCACCGAAAAAGTCGATAACTCGATCAAATTCTGGAATTATTGTGATTCTTATTGGGAAAAAAGTTATGGTGCCGATGAAATTGACTGTCAACAATGGAAATGTCCATTACATTACTCCGCACGAAGATTTTATCAATGTCAAACCGGTCAATGTATTTCCGAAAATTGGTTGTGCAATGGGGAATGGGATTGCTCAGATGGATCTGATGAAGAAGGCATTCAACTATTAACAGAACACACTGTCGGTGGACATAATTTGAAATTATTTCAGCTACTAGGAACAAATTTAACCGAACAGAAAAGTCGATGTTTAAAAAAGAATTCAGAACGCTCATTCATGAGATTTTGTGATATCAAAACTGAATATGCTTGTCTATTGGCGAATGTAGATGATGCATTGAACTTTCGATTAAATCGGCCATGTATTAATCTAACACAACTAGGTGATGGTCATGTTGATTGTTACGGTGGATTAGATGAGCGAAATATATTGAATTGTTCATCGTATGAACAGTTAGGTTTTGGATTTAAATGTAATATCAATGACAAATGTATTTCAAGAAGACAACAATGTACTACTGATGATCGATGCTTTAATGGTAACGATCGTCTGCTATGTATTTATTTGTATAATAACACATATGTGCAATGTAATGGTCAACATTCAACCGCGACTGTGAAAGATGTCCACTGTCTTAATGGAAGCTGTTTGCCAGATTCACGATGTAATGGCTTGGCAGAATGTCCATACGGTGAGGATGAATACTATTGCCCAACTGGAAGTTCCTCTACAACAAGGAGCTACCGACCGCGCATTAAGAAGTCTTATTTTCCTTCAATCAAAATACAACTACCAAATTATTCTCCATTTTCTTTCTTAGTAAATAAATGCAATGAAAACAATGACAAGAGCAAAACGTTAACATCACAGACATCAATGACTGGTAAGTCCACATTATAAATATGATATTTTTTGTGCAATTGATTGCTTTTGTTGATTGGTTTCAGCTATTCAAGATCAAATTTCGCCCACAAGATCATCTCGACAAAAACTGGCGAACCAGTATTCTGAGGAAGGTTGGATATGTAATCGTGGTGTTGCAGGGGTTAAAAAATCGTTTAATGTAAGCCAGTTACCTGTACAATGTTTTTGTCCACCAAGTTATTACGGAGATCGGTGCGAATTCATGAGTGATCGACTAACAGTGTTCATTCGCTTTGAAAAACAGACTAATGTTTTGTCAAAAGGTGTCATCAAAATATTAGCTCTACTCGTTGTGATCATCAATGATACAACAACAGTTCTCGATCGTCATGAAGTTCATTTTATATCAGCGCTTAACAATTTTAAAGAGAAACAGAAATTCTATTTTGTTTATCCTCAACCTCATCAATTACGATCAAGTACGCATCGTTATACAGTTCGTTTCGAAGCATATCAATTGAATGAAGATGAGAGTATTGAATTTCTAGCTGTTTGGATCTATCCAGTTCCATTTAATTTTTTGCCATCACAACGTCTCGCTAAAGTGTTAAAATATACTCAACAAGCACAACTCGAACCAAACCATACATGCTTATCAAAAATCAATCCATGCTTGAATGAAGGCAGGTGTCATCCAATTATGAATAAGTTGAGCGACATTCATTCATATTGGTGTGAATGTGGAAACAGTTCGTATGGTTCTCATTGTGAATTCAAAGATCAATCTTGTTTTATCATTCCAACAAAACTGTGAGTATACCATTATATTGTGATTATGTATTATTTCTTCCTCTTTCTATGAAACAATAACTTATTGTAGCAACTATTGTTCTCCTACGTCTTTGTGCCGTCCGCAATATGATCATTATGGACAGAAGCCACTTTGCATATGTTCAATGAATTCATATGGTCCACGTTGTTTTATTGATCGACCATGTCAGATGAAAATCAATCAAAATCCATGTCAAAATGGTGGAATATCCTTAACCAAATATCAACATCATAATTTGATTGATGCTTGCATCTGCCAATGTCCAAAGTCTTATTTCGGTCCAATATGCCAATATCGTGCAGGTGCAATCCAAATTAGTTATGATTTTGAAAATCAGTCAGTCACTTTGTCTGGTGACCAAATTAGTGCAACAATAATACAGTTATTCGATATTAATGATCATGAGGAATTGAACTTAAAAAAGCAAGTCCTTTATAAAGATAGTTTACCTTCACATTTAATAATTAATTCTGAGAATATGATTCATCCAATGTTTGGTTTAGTTAAATTATATACCAATCAATCAACCATTCAGTATCATCTATTATATACTAGTTCAAGTGCAGGATCATCATTGAATCTGACTCTCAGATTTAAGAAAGAGAACTATTGTCCACACTCACATGACATCTTCAATTTGCGTAATGAAACATATCAAAGTATGTTTTGCTCATTGATCTGAAAACGTTATTGATTAAAAAAAACACAATATCGATGCGAAAGTCGAATGATAAAATTCTTTACTATATGAGAGATGCTAAAAGCTATGAAGGGTAGAAAAAGCGATGAGTAATGACAGTACTGAAACAGGATACTAAGAATACCCAAAAGTAGTGGCAATAACATTGTAGTATCGTATAGTAAGCTTGAAAAAACTTTTTACTAACGAAAAGTAATCATACTTTACATAACGATAGGTCTGTCAAGTCATAAATCTCTTTCCTTCTTGAGCTATAAGATACGTAGTGATAAAGGGTGTCTCAAGCGATCATCATCGAGTTGGCATCATTGGCCTGCATTTCCAAATTAGTACATGTGCTAAAAATGCCTGAGATCACTGGAAGAGATAGTTTTCACTAGTAGGAAGTTTTCAAGCTTACTATGCGGTACTAAAATGCCATTGTCACCAATTTTGGAATATTCGGAGTAGAATATCTTCTAAAATGTGTGAGATAGGCTTTCGATCATTTCAAGCAAACGACAGCTGTATGATTGGAACAAATATTGTAAAAAAGCTCTCTTTGTATACATTCTGACTATTTCTGTCTTTATTTGATAGTTCAGAATGTTGTTGCCAAGTATCACACTTTATGCGATAAGACTACGTCTAAAAGTTCACCATTATTATGTTTTGTTGATGATGATTATTTCTGTCTATGTGATATAAACGATATTGCTCAGTGTTTTCCTTACAATAAAAAATTCGATCAATGTAAGCATTGTTTGGCACACGGGCAATGTATCAAAGGTGATATAGATACACCAAGCGATTATTTATGTCTATGTCCTCGATGTCATTTCGGTTCAAAATGTCAACACAATACAAAGTTGTTCAGTTTCACTTTGGACTCTCTTCTTAGTCCTGATTTGTTGTCGTCATCACTCGTCAAACAAAAAGTATTTTTAAGTATATATATCATTGTGCCGGCATTGCTCTTAATCTATGGTACCATTAATAACCTCTTTTCACTCATCACCTTTCGACGACCAAAAACACGTCTGACTGGAGCTGGTCATTATTTTTTCACTGTTACTATGTTCTCTCAACTATCATTGTTTTGTCTTGTCAGTAAAATTCTCCACATTATCATCAATATACAAGGAATCTTTATTCAGCCAATGGTCAACACTGTTTTGTGCAAGACTTTGTCTTTTCTTTTGTCATCAAGCACTCGGATTTGTTATTGGTTAATCGTTTGTGTGGCTATTGAACGTATGTATGTGACAATCTATCCAACAAAACGATGGTTACAACAACCTAAAATTGCAAAAAATATCATCACATTTATAACTATATGTACATGTGCTTCACATGTACACGAATTGATTAAGTACACCATTGTGGATGATCCCAAGTACACACAAAACGGTAATTCATCATTTTTCTGTTGACTAAATGTTTGTGATATGTGATATAGGAAAATGGTGTGTAACACAATTGAGTCATTCTCTTCAAATCTATAATCAAACAAATATAATGTTTCATTATTTAACTCAATTTCTAGTGAATCTCATTTGTGCAATCACACTTCTGATTCTTATTGCTTGTACTCGTGCAAATGTAGATAAAAAGAAATCTCGTTGGCAAACATTTCAGAAGCAATTCAAGAAAAAGAAGGAAATGTTCATTCCATCAATGATTGTTATTATTAGTGCTTTACCTCACCTCATTATTTCTTTTTTATTGGCCTGTAGTGATCTTGATACAAAATGGCAACGCTATATGCTCATCATATCGTATTTCTCTGCTTATGTACCACAAAGCTTAAGCTTTCATCTGTATGTTCAACCATCGAAATTCTTTTTGCGAGAATTCTATGCAACAAAGGTGTGGAAGATACTGAAACGATAATGAAACACAATAAATTAATAATAACCTACTTTTTCTTCATAAAGTTTATGATTAACCTCTATATCTAGCTTGTGTTCGTTGGATGTCTGCTCTTTGTTCACAAAAATAAAAATATATCTATCATGCTATTTCATTCAATAGATGTGTTACCCGAAAAATCTTGTGAGCCGTTGCACGTAAACCAAATACATATGTGATAGAAGCAGCTGTTTAACGAGGTTTGTTGCATATCGCTGATTTTTTTCTTGCATTTTTACGAAAAGCTCTAAAATTAACGAATATGAATAACTCATTTTTCTTATAGCTATATCTCTAGAATAGCTCAATTTTTCTGTTGGATCTTCAGTCCATTCAACCATTGCGAAAGTATCATTGCTTCCACAATTGTTGCCATTTGTAAGGGTGTGAATGTGGATGTGGGTGTGGGTGTGAGTGTGGATATGGTGTGGGTATGGTCTCTTCTTATTTTAACCCGCACCCATGCTCACACCCCACACTCACCCACATCCTGTTACACCCCCAATAACCAGCAGTCGGGTCAGCCCTGATTGTTACAATGGTACTAACTCTTTATTTTTTTTTCTCTCATTTTTATGACCTGTAGAATGCAGTAAACTACATCGACTTATGAGATAAAAATTTTGAATACATGCTCCATATCATTCCGTAACTTCTACTGATGTTTCAAGAATCAAGCGATACTATTCCAACAAAAAGTTTTTTTCCTTTAACCTAGTGATACGTACAATAAAATGCCTAAAACAAGACGAGACAAAGTAGACAGATACAAGAGGAGTCCTATAGACAGTCATTTAAATTAAAAATACTCTCATCCTCAGAGCATTATTATATTGGTCAATCTGTATCTAAAATATAAAGAATCTGGGAAAAAAGAAGGCCAAGATATTTGTCACAAGTAATGATAGCTATCTCAACAAATAGTTGCAGTCACTCCTCGTATTCTCATTAGTCGACGGTGTAGGCAAAGGTAAATGACCTTTGTCAATGTATCGTGACAAAAACCGCAATATGAAAACTACGTAATATCTTTACATAAATCTATAGTTTGGTAACACGAAATATTAAAGCAAAATTCTTTGTTATTTTCATAAAACATAATTCTGTTAAAAAGACAAAAATTGAAACCAATAGTTATGAATGCTCATGATAGACGATATTTTGAACGACAATGACAACGAGAGAAATAAACTCATTTTTCTTTCATTCATTCTATTAGTCAGTCATTATTGATTCAGACTGAAAAAAAATATATCATTATTCTCATTGACGATCATCGACGACATCGGTCAAAAAAAATGAAACGACCATATATAAATACTCACGTCTATGGTTTTAAAAAAACAGACGCGCAGATAAATATGGAAGATTTATCATTGAACTTAAATGCTTTACCAGATGAAATTCTTATATTTATTTTGAAAAAATTGGATCATGTCGAAGTACTCTATTCTTTAACAGGAGTTAATAAACGACGCACTACAATTGCACATGATTCGATTTTTACAAGTCATTTAACATTATATTTTTCGGATAAATGCATCAAGCCATTACCTGATCCAATCCTTGATCGATTTTGTTCACAAATTTTACCAGAAATTCATCCTAAAATCGAATGGCTTAATCTTGAACCAACATCTATGGAATGTATTCTTTGTGCTACAAACTATCTATATTTATATGGACTTGGTTTATATGGTGTTAGTATAGAACAAGCTATATTTCTTACTGGTAGGTTATTTCACTTCAATTATGTTAATTCTGAATCCGTGAGAAGTAAATAAAATCTCAGTATTGTTTTATCAGATTTACACTAGTAAAGTAGATCATTGATGAATCTAAGTATGACTTTGTACGCTGCATTATTATAGTTATACATAAATTGAACAAATCAATAATATGATTTAATTACTATAGAAAATAATTAGTATGTTTTGAAAAGGCATTTTTTATTTTTAGAAAACACTGCTTTTACTCCTCTAGTCAAAAATCAAATATCATCACTCTTTATCGATATTAGTAAAGATAAAAAGATACCAGAAATTTATGACAATAAAACTATATTTAAATATATCTTTACTATGTTCACTAATTTACAACATCTAAATTTCGGACGATCTTTAATGTATCATCAACGATTTTCATTTAACACGCCATCTCCCAATGTGATTTCCTCAAATATATTAGAATTACATATTACTGTGCTTTCTTTCATTGATGTACTTTATTTACTTGATGGACGTTTTAACCAACTTCGTACGTTTCATCTTAAGATTAATTGCATTCAAAGTAGGAGTTCAAATATCCATAGTGAGGTAGATTTTTTCTGGTAAATACCAAATTTATTAAGATAAATTGAATTATATTCTCCTTTCTAAGAAAAACTACCTAATATAAGATGTTTTTCACTATATTCTGATATGTGTGTGCATTTTTATGATGAATCAATTCTACCATTTCTGCATCGAATGTTAAATTTAGAAAAACTTGATTTACATCTTAAACTCGATCATTATAAAGGATTTATTGACGGAAATGATTTTAAAAAAAGATATTCTAAATTATATGTTACGAGGGTGTGGGTGTGGATGCGGAAAGAGACGTCTTTGTGAAGGACTACCACACCCGCACCCACACCCACACCCAAACATTAATCTACACGTAGAATTATTTTTTGGGTCATCCTGAATACTAAAGAATAGAATTCATTGATAATAGAATATTACCTTGCCTATCAATGCATTATTTGAATCAACCTAAATATAACAGGAAACAATTCGTTTACTTTTAAATAAAAAGATTACTGGTCGAACTGTTCTACTAATCAGCCTAAACATAAAGCAACAGAATCAATTCCTATTAAAATAATAAACTACTCAAAAAATTATTCTTTGGGTCAACCTAAATGTTAAGAGAAGATATAGATCATATTAAAACAAGTACTTATCATAGTAAATCCATTCTTTTGCTTAACCTGAATACACAAGAGTAGGATTAGTTTGTATTAAAATAATAACTTTACGCATAAGATCGCTCTTTGCATCATCGTAACTATACAAGAATAGACTTGATTTATAATATAATGATTACTTACCTGCAATTCCATTCTTCTCATCAACCTCAATACAAAGAATAAAACTAATTCATATTAAAATTATTTGGATGTGGGTGTTGACGAAGAAGAGAAGCGCACCCACACCCCTCTTATACGATCATCATTAACCAGTTTAACAGGACTATAGATATTACAAAATACAAACAGAAAAAACAAATAGTCAATCAAGAAAATGAATGAGAAAGATGAACATCATAATCAATAACATCATAAACATAAAATTCTAAACTCTTATTATTGAATTAAAATTATCATCAATATATATTCAATGGAACAATAATTCAATGTAATGATAAATTCAATGTAATAATAATTCAATGTGATGATATTATGAAAATTAATAATATAATAATGTAAATTAATAACATGAATGAAATCAATGATATGTTTAAATAAGTAACATAACAATATAACTAATAATAAAGTATCATTTATTGAGTTATTATTAAACATAAATGAGTTTATTCCAAGTATCAATATACCTACTTATATAACTCATGTTTGTGTTTTGTAACATCTATAGTCCTGTTAAACTGGTTGATAATGATCGTATTAGATCGAAAATTTCCACAAAACAAAATAAAATCTATCATTATAGATTTCTACATTTGTTTAATTAACTAGATATTGCATTAAATCTCATGTAGTATTGTTTTCAGTCCATCACTAGTGGCTAGATAGATAGATAGTTAGATAAATAATTAGATAGATAGTTAGATAGATATGTAGTTCGATAAATAGGTAGATAGATGAATAGTTAGATAGATAGGTGAATAGTTAGATAGATAGGGAGTTAGATGGATACCCACGAAAACAATTTTGTTGAAAAATGTGGTCGACAACGGTAATGACAACCGCGATTTCTAGCGTTGTTAGAGAACTGTGGGCGTCAGATCATTTATTCATCTCTTTAAAACCGCCGAAAACCGCGTCCTACTGCGGTTTCCGACGGTTTTAAAGAGGCGAATTAATGGTCTGATTCCCGCAGTTTTTTAACACTGCTAGAAATCGCAGTTGACATTATCGCGATCAAGCGCGTTTTTTCAACAAAATTTTTTTCATGGTTGTTCAGGTAATAGTAAAAAACTTGTCCGTCCTAAATCATAGATGTCATAATACCATTACACTGGGTATCGAGAGCTAAACGTCAGAATACCCTACAGAGAGGAGTAACGACCTCATTACCCTACAAATAAACTATGCATGTTCAAAGTTGAGGAATTTGAGTGAATTTGGTGTAACGACCTCATTACGCCAAAAATAAACTATGTATATTCAAAGTTGAGGAATTTGAGTGAATTTGGTGTAACGACCTCTTTACCCCAAAAATAAACTATATGTCATTAAAGTTGAGGTTACATTTCATATGGCATTACTCCTGGGGTAATACCCCAAATTCACTCAAATTCCTCAACTTTTATTACA